TAACGATTTCCTCGTGCTTTGGTCTTTTTATAAATTAACACACTAGGTGAAAAGTGGGAGCTGGGAGCCTATGCTTCAAAGCAGAAGTGTGTGGCAGCGCATACAACGCCTATAAATTGGGTATATTCAAATTATGTGCTTGTGCCACAAGCAAAGTGTGTGGCATGAACAGCTAACCTCAGTCAGCTGTGGGACTAGGAAGGGGTTAAAAGAACTCCACATGGATTTGAATTAGCCTTTCTGGTTAAACATGTCTTGCAAATGCTGTAAGCCTGTCAAAAAATGTGGCAATTCCTCTGCCTAAGAAAAAAAAATTTGGGTAAAAAGCGGAACAACCTTGCTTTGCATTATAGAGCTCATTGCCAGAATTTTTGCAGAGAGTGATTATAGTTTCCTAATAACGATTGGCTTCAGGGGCTCATGAACCCTCATCATTCTTTGTTAGGCTTCGTACAGGCATTCTTCCTGTAGCAATTTTAAAAACTGTCCTTGCCAATGCAGGTCAACAAGCAATGAACATCAAAAAAAAAAAAAGCCTCAGTAGAATCTCTCATATCTAAACACTGAATGTTTCTTTACACACATGTCCCCAAATATAAACAAACAACATTTTAAACAAAGCAATTTGGGAACACCATTTATATGTCCAGTATATATTAGGATGTAGGGATCAGACTGTCCTATTTGCAAGTTCTTTCTTGTGTCCTAAATACCAGAGATGTGCATGTATATGTGTTTCCCTTCTATTTCCTACATGGGTTTATGCCCCCACTAAGCTTGCTATGATAAGAAACAGCTGGCTTCTTTGTTGTTGCTTTTCTCTCTCATTAAAGGCTTTCTTTGTCTTGCAATGGGCTTAAGAGTGTTTTTTCTTCCAGCAACTTATTTTCTTCTCTCTGTGGGTAGGTTAGGGAAGGGGATAGAGGTGATGCTTGACCATTAACGAAGTGAATGTTATATAATGAACTATCTTGCTGAAAGGGACAGACATACAGAATAAGTAAAAGGGTTTTTTTTTCCTCCTCTGTTTTCTTTCCTTTGCACTCAGGTCTGATCTGCATGAGTACAGATTCTGTAGCATGAGTACAGACCACTGACCTCTTCTCAACAACAGGAACACACAACAGCACTGTGTGCCTGTCCCCAGTCCACCAGGAAGGACAATCTCTGCCTCGTCCATGCTAAATGTTGAAAGTGGTGTTTTTATAATTTTGCTGCCACAAGCAATGCTATACAGTTCTGCTGCACCTCATCTCATTGAAGGCATACATATCCACTTCAGTTCACTACAATATGCCTCCTCCTCCTCTTCTGCCTCTCCACCAATTAGCATACAAGAAGTGCTGAATATGATGAGAGGGCAATGGAGGAGAAATCATATAAAAGGTTAGTCAATGGAAGCAGCATCCTCAAAAGCCCACCCAATTAAAGGAAAATAGTTAAGGATTACAGAAATAGGAATCCACTAATTGGGGGCTTTGGAAAGTGCAGTCCAGGCAAAACATAAGCCAGCGTTATTACTGAAGTGAAGGAAGGGGTTAACATCTGGAAGTGTATTTCTTAATCCATTTTAGCGCCAATCAGTTTACATACTGCAGTCTAGCAGCTTAATGTTGGAGCTGGGGAAAGCCCTCATTGTCTAAAATGGAGAAGGAAATGGCAATGAAGCTTTACCAGTATTCTCTAGGTAGAAGGGCTCCGTTTCACTGAGAGAGTGAAATGGAGACTCTATGTTTCCGATATCAGGGGTCTCCAACCTTGGCAACTTTAAATCTTGTGGACTTCAATTCCCAGAATTCCTCAGCCAGCAAAGCTGGCTGAGGAATTCTGGGAGTTGAAGTCCACAAGTATTAAAGTTGCCAAGGTTGGAGATACCTGTCCTGTATAATTGTTGTCTTAATAAATATGAATGTTTTTGGACAAAGCAGTTAATATAAAGATATGATTTGGTTAAATGCACTATAAACTGGTGCTATGGAATATATGGATATCTTTAAAAGACACAATAGCAACAGCACTTAGACTTATATACCGCTTCACAGTGCTTTAGAGCCCTCGCTAAACTGTTTACAGCGTCAACAAATTGGCCCAACAATCTGGTTCCTCATTTTACTGACCTCAGAAGGATGGAAGGCTGAGTTAAGCTTGAGAATAGTGATGGAGAACAAAGGACACGGCTGAAGTCCTGTGTTACTTTGACCTGACTGATTTTTTATTTTTTGCTCCTGAATCTGGCTTTGAGAAGTCACAAATCGCATTGGTACCAACAAAATTTGAAAAGCTAGCCAAACATCAAACATGACTGGGAGAGTGTGCTGCAAGGCACAGATAAAAGTGAAAGCCACAGCTTTCACTTATTCTATTTTTTAAATTTTGTATTGTATGTGTTTTTATTGTTTGGCTGTGCACCGCCCTGAGTCCTTCGGGAGTAGGGCGGTATAGAAATCTAATTATAAAGAAAGCTCAGTCTTGCCAGGGTTCGGCCAGCGTCTCCCTCACCCAAATCCTCACAGCCTCCAGGCACTGGTATAGGACTTTAGCGGGATTGCTCTTTGTTCCTCTTTAATTATATTGTTGTACATCCTGATACACCGTGTTGCTTCAATGTATGACATGATTAGAATTTATTAACATTCTATTATTTAAACAGCTTAAAGTATTGAAAATATAGATTCTGCAGCATTATGTGTTTGGCCCAGGGTGAAGTCGTACAACCAGGAATCATCAGCCTGCTGCTGCTGCACCCCATGCTGATGGGTTACTTAACCAGTGGCTTCATGTAAATGTTAAACAGGAGTGGCATGAGACTAGAGCTCTGACACACTCTGTAAAGCAGAGGCCTCGGGCTTGAACTTCTCTACCCCCAATGAATACTGACTGGAACTAGAGCAGAAGAGGAGAACCAGCATAACATAGTATCTCCCACTTCCAATCTTCTAAGACAGGCCACAAAGGCACTTTGAGGTCACTCAGAAATCAAGGAGAGCCCAGGCACAATCCAATCCCACCCGAGGTCATTGACAAGTGCAATCATGGGTATCTCAGTACCAAAATCAGGCTTGAATCCTGACTGAAAGTCATTTATATAGGCACCGCTGTTAAAAGTCACTGCATTCCAGTGTTTTTCCTGTTTCTTCTCATTTTTAAAGAAACCTAGTTTCCCCTATTATACTAAAACAAAAGCAAGCAATATTTTTGTATTGGATTACTTGTTTAATTTTGAGAACAGATTAAAGAGCAGAAACAAAGTGATTGTTCTATAAAGGGCAGCTGGATTAAATATGCCCAGTCACAAAATTTTATTTCAGAAGAACTGCCTATATTTTCTTGATGCAAAATAACTCTGAAATTTAAATAGGTTTCATGAGGAGTGGGGGGACTGCACTGTTATTAATTTTCTTGACCCCCTTAACGGACATAAAGATACCAGTAGACAGACAGACAGACAGATTTAAAAGTCGTGGAATATATTTGATGGGCTTGGGCTTTGAAAACATTGTTTTGCAATGTTTTTCTTTGTCTCAGTCGTATCAGATAAGTGGTTTTATAAAATTTGTCAAAGATATCCAGGCAGTTTAATACGTTGCTTGCATGAATCCACTAGCTGTCTGAAGCCCTAGAGTAAGAATACCAGTTAATTACACTCAGTCTTGATGTCAAATGGTTCCATTAATTTTTGGAACAATTCATTTGTCCTATACAGAATCCAGAGGTCACTGCTGGCAGACAATGGCATATATTAAATTGTAGGAAGAGCATGTAAAGGCACTTCTAATCTTGTCTTTGTATTTGTTAGGGCAAACCTCAGAGTAGACCAAATAGGACTTAAAACAAGAGTAAAGTAATATCAGACCATTTCAATTTCCCAGGACACTTCATGATAGACTTCAAAGTGGCTGTTTTGAAACAATTGAATTTTAACAGCACCATCTAGTGATAAATTGCTGAACTCACATACATCAAAAGGTTGCACACAAACTCAGATCTCAGTGAATACAATGGTTTTTCTTTTTACACATTTTACATTTTTTTACAACTGCTAATAGATAAGATATGTATAATCTGCATAACCAAACTATCTAGTGCTTACACAATGTATATTTCTGACTGTGGGAGGAAAGCCCCCTCAATAGATCTTTATACCGGATGGAAGGCTTAAATATGAAGATATGAAAATATGAAGAGCTACTGAGGGAACTAAACTTCACCTGTAACATTTCCATACAGCAATTTCATCACTACATTTTACACCAGCTGCAGTTTGTGAAACCTATCAAGAGCACTTATACTGTGACAACATAAATTTACCAGATTATGAACTAGAGTGGTTAGGCTATCACTGCTGTGGAATGGGCTTACCTATACTGGCCGGTCAAAACTTGCCAAATAAGCTCCAAAACACATAAATTTCTAGTAATAACAATAGACTACATTTACTACTGTTGCAGTCAACCTAATTGGTTTCCCCCTCACAATCTTTGGTGCCCCATATCCCTCCGTTGCAGTGAGTGTGGCATGCAGGTAAGACCAAGGCATTAGTCCTGCCTGGAAAATGGAGGGAGAGGTGGCAGCAGGAATGGGGCTGCAGCCATAAGGAGGCAGAAAGAGGGAGGGAAGGAGTGGTAGTGGCCAAGACTTGTCCCTGATTTACTCCCATCTTGCTCTTGAGCAACAAACAGCATCAAGGCTTGTATTAATTGCGGTGTCCTTAAGATTTAATATTATTTAAATAAAATAAACATTCATAATTTATTATGTTTTTTTAGTCTTGTATATTTATTTGCTGAAAAGATAAATGTGGTCCATCATCAACTCTCAGACATGGCCTCACTGCTACATGGAAAAAGGTTGCCAACTCCTGCTTTACAGCATCATACTGATATATAAAACAGACCTGCCAACTTCTAAAAGTAGTTAAATATATCCTTAAATTCTTGCTAATAGAATATATTAACAAGATAGCAACTGTTTTTTTTAAATAAACAAAGTCAGTTCCTTACCTGTCTACTGTGTCACCCACCACCTTTCCTCCTGAACCGTTTATGGACTCTTGCCTTGTAATCCCTTGAGATCTACTTCGTTCCAAGGCTGACTGTTCTTGCAGCTTTGTTTTTTTGTCCTGAGGTGCTTTTTCATTCTGCAGTCCTCTAAAACCCTCTTGATCAGACTTCTGTGGGGTGTTAGTTCCACTATTATAAAACCATGCTCCAGATTTTGTAAGGATTTCTTGTTGCTTTCGACATGAATTACACACCCACATTACCTACAAATAATATGCAGAAAATATTACCGTTTTTTGAAAGTAATCTTGACAAATTCACACTAAAATGAGATGTAATAAATTATTATAGAACATTAAAAATAACATTAAATGTCAATGTTTTAAATTAATAGAATTTTAACCGGTTTTTTTAAGTTTAACTACTTGTTTGTAACTCCAGAAACCCAAGTTTCAAAAAAAATTGCCATTATTGCCCAGCAATTAACAGACATATTCTCTTGAATCATAGAAATGAAATCCTGAAATGTTAATAAAATATACATAATATTTTATTAATAACAGCATTATTTTATGCAAGAGACTGCTACAATAAATGCCCAAACCCCAAACCTGAATTCTGAAACTTATTATCAACAGGCTATTTTTATAGAAAACCATCTAAGTGCCCATAACTGTGCCATTGTTTAATGATATACTGCATATTTTCTCCCAAACTAAAATAATAATAGAAAAATATGAAATCGCCAAGTATTTTACTGGTAGTAAAATGTTGGTAGCACAATCAGAAATAGTAGAATAGTTTATCTTTGTTGATTCAGAGTTTAACAACCAATGATTAACTTTAATCTCTGGTCCTCAACTTTTCAAGGACTTTTAGTTATATTACTGTGCCAGTCTAATTTGACATCAAAGAAATATGTTTGTTGAGTCAGAAAGATGCTCTTTTATCACTTGAAAAACTAACAAAATCCCAACCAAAAGTTAGAAAAATACAGTCAATTTAGTATCTCCATTTTCAATAAGAATGCATAGCTTCTTCAATATGAAAGTCAGTATTCTTGTCAGGCTAACACATCTGATTTTATAATATCAGTTCTTCCACTTTATATATATTTCCAATGGGTTCAGATTAAAATAATCCTCCTAGAATTATAGTTTCCCTATTTTGATGTGTGTAATGTGTTTTTTTTTTAAAGATTGAAATTGTAGGTAACCTTCAGGGAAATACTTGAAAATACATAAAACTACATAACAGCCAAAGAGAGGTGCTGTATTTAGTCTGTCTGGTATTATTTTTGAGGTCATTCCAGTTACCCTACCTCCAGGCATTGTGGCCTCCCATAAATTGCTTCATCTCATTTCTGAACTAGAATAATAGTTACAGCAGAATCTTATGATGATGGGAAGCATTTGGGATATTTTCTGTAACAAAAAGTCTATCTAAAATGTTCAGGGGAAGAGGCATCAAAAACCTTGGAAAAGTTTATTTTTTTAAAAAAAAACCTTCAGATAGAAAAGGAAAGAAGATATTGGAGAACAGGTTCCTTTAATTGCTAAATCAAGCATGCCTCATAAACCAAAACATGCCAAGGCCTCTGAATAATCCTTTGGGGTGGATCATACGCAATAGAAGCAGCGGGTAGATAAAGTGGGAAGGAAGGCCAAGAGCTCTCTCATCAGGAAAAGAAAAATAGCCTCAGGCTTCATTCTCTGCAGATCAGCATCAATTTCAGCTGAGAGTAAAGTTGTAGGACCAAAATCAGTTATTACTGCTTGACAGGATCTATTTACCAAGAAAAGAGCAAAAGAAAAAAGAAAAAGAAAATAAACAAACAACTCTTTCAGCTGTTCTGTTCTCTACTGTACGTATCATATAAATGGCACAACTATTTTCCATATATATTGATACGACTTCTGAAAATAATTTTAATTGTTCTACAATGTCATTGCTCTGCTTGGTATTGGAGTCCCTCACAACTGCTTTAAAATAAACAGGAACTATGCTTTGCATACTTCCTTAAATTTTTTCCAACTCTTTCCCGGTAATGATCTTACAGTCATCTGTATTTTTCTCTGTATAACAATGTTGTGCCTCTGTATAGCTGTGCATATCTATGCACAGAGAAACACAGGATACCACTCTGTGTCAAATCACCAGGAGGGAAATTAAGATGTCAAGGAGCTTAGAATGGAACAGTCGACAACATTCCAAGCCATTGTTCAGCAGTTTCTCATATCAAAATATATTGGAGAGGGGGATTTCATGATTTGTTTTTCCTTCACAGTTCACCGCTGTGATCCAGCTTATTTTTGAATTCGGTCTTTCTTCTGCCACTCCCAACATCAAGCTTGCTCCTCTACAGAGTTCCCAAAACATTATTTTGTAGACAGGCAGGCAGAGAAAGTTCCAAGCCCACTTATACAATTTCTTTCCAAAATTCTGTTGGATTGGAAACTATATAGGTAGTCCTTGGTTAACAATGACAATTGAATTTCCTTCGCTAAATTACATGGTTGTAAAGTGTGACATCATGTGATCCCATCACTTACTAATAGCGGTTCCAGGATTTTCCACTGCCTCATTAAGCAAAGTTCACATCATCATTAAGGAAGGACATCACATAGTCACCATTTGGATTCTTCTGCCGGTTTCCCAACTGATTTTGTGTCAGCCTTCCCAAGTAAACCAGACAGAAAACATGACCAGATGAGTTATTCTAAGTTATTCTAAGGCTTCGTAAACAGAACCTTCCAAGTCTGAAAGTACAAATCTCCCACTGTCATTTTAACAGCCTAACCAAACTTAGAAAGGGCAGATCCTTTGTAAGTTTCTTTATTTGATCATTAAGTCACTGGGGGCTCATCCTTTTCTTATCATTCTCTATAAATATTTCTTCCCCTTGCCCCTTAAGATCATTCCCATATCCCTTTGCTTATAAGAAGCCAGAATATCGCAAATGGCGACCACATGATTGTGGGATGCTGCAACCTCATAATCATAAGTTGGGTGCCAAAAGCCCAGATCGCAATGACATGACCACAAGGATGCTGTGACAGCTGAAACTTTGAGGACTGGTTGTAACATAATTCAGCGCTCACACACATCGCATGTAATGCCTGCTCTGCTTGCAGCTCTTCAGGTAGCAGTTCATCTGGCAACTGTAGCAGGGGTGAAATCCAGCAGGTTCTGACAGGTTCTGGAGAACCGGTAGCGGACATTTTGAGCAGTTCGGAGAACTGGTAGCAGAAACTTTGAGTAGTTCAGAGAACCAGCAAATACCACCTCTGGCTGGCCCCAGAGTGGAGTGGGAATGGAGATTTTGCAATATCCTTCCCCCAGGAGTGGGGAGAGAATGGGGATTTTGCAGTATCCTTCCCCTGCCACCCCCACCAAGCCACACCACCCCCACCAAGCCATGCCCACAGAACCAGTAGTAAAAAAATTGAGATTTCACCACTGAACTGTAGAACTGGTGGCTTACTCACTGTCGATTTTCTCTCAGAGTCTGAACTGGCCATGAAAGCACCCTAATATCAGCTGAAATTCTAACAAGAATCAGAGATCCAACAAATTTTTATCCTCTTTTGCTGAAACTTTCATTTGTCAGAAGGTAGAAGAAGAAGATCTGATATTCCCAACCTAATCCCTACCCAAAGAGAGGAATTGGTTGAAGAAGTGAAATGAGAGCAATCTATTTTATTGTTGCCTTTTATTCATTTACACTGTTTTAACTAAATGTATTTCTATGTAAGTTAATAAAAATAGTTTGTTCATTAAACAAAACAATATAAATAAATATGGCTTTAAAAGATCTTGATATAGCATCCCACTTTTAAAATCATTACAGTTCTTAAATATATACAATAAATTACTATCATATGTCTGAAAAATTTGTGGGGAAAAGGATGAATTAATTACATTAATAATGATAATTATTAATTTAATTTAACTTATTATCTTATTCTTTAATTATTCATTAATTATTCTTATTACATTAAGAATAATTATGCAATAACTATAATTATATGTTGGATAAATTATTCACAATTTTCTCAAATTACAACATTTTAGAATGTTTCAATGTTTTTCCATTACATATATACCACTTAAGAATTTAATTATAATTCAACACAACATTAAAATATTGTACATGTCTTAATTTTAAAAAGTGGAAGTTGGATTATTTCGAAAAATAGCAACCTTTTTTTTCTCTGTTCAATCATGTCTGATTCTTACAGACTACCTGGACAAGTCCCTGCAGTTTTCTTGGCAAGGTTTTTAAGAAGTGGTTGACAATTGCCTCCTTCCTTGGGTTGCGAGAAAGTGACTGGTCCAAAGTTACCCAGCTGGCTTTGTGCCTATGGCGTGACTGAACTCACCTCCTCCTGCTTTCTAGTCTGAGCCTGAACACGACAACAAACTGGCTCTCAATCTATTTTCGCAGGTCTTTTTTTTTTCCTTTTATGAGAAGCTTCACTATTCATACCAAAGGATGAGACACCATCTTGTGTTTAACAGTGGTATTGCTGCACTCTGAAATAATAATCTAACATGATTAAAAAAACTATCCTCTGCATGCTTACTTAGAAATAAACATTGTATAAGCTGGTATTATCTAGAAATATATTTAACTGTAGATCTCTTTTTAATACCAGACATTTTAATTCCTTGCCAAAAATAAAATGTGTGAAATCTGCTTTTTATAGTGTAGAAACAGTAAGTTAAAGCTTGATCTAAAGTTCCACCCCTTTTTTAAATTCTCTTGAGGAAAATATATTTGAAAAATTGTTATTTATTGATCAAGTAACAACTAGCTACAAGAGTCCCTGACTTACAACTAGTTATTTTTGACCTTTCAAAGTTACGACAGCCACAGAGTAGGTAATTTATGATCTGTAGAGCACTCCTAGCTGTTGTAAATTGTCACACCACACCACACAGCCACATGATTGAATGTTGGGCAGTTCAGCTTTGCAACCCATAGTGAAAAACTGTGACTTTAGTAATTTTTTTTCTGGTTTCTGGCATTTTTTTGCAAATTTCCAGCAAATGAATGGGTTCACTTAACGACTACCATGAAAAAAGCCATAAAATTAACTTCTGGTCACATGAGTGATTTGACCTACAATTGTAATGATTTACAACCAGATTTCCGGTCCCAATTAGGATTGAAAGTTGAGAACTACCTACATGACTATTCTTCAAAGCAACTTTATTGTAAAAGGACTTCACTAAACTACATCCTTAGAAGTAGATTTAA